AGCCTCCTAATGAAGAGATAAACTTTCGATTTACACGTTTTATAACCAGTTCTTGAACTAGTAATAGCAGGACTGATTTTCTGGCAAAGTGTGACACTGTGCGATCGCTAGTTTCTCACTAAAGTCAGAACACAAAAGGATAAATCAAAGTTCATAATAAATACCATAAGCAGTTTCTTACCTTTGAGATAGAATTTAATCTATGTAAGCCTTGTGCAAAGAAAGATACAGTCCCAGAATACAATATCCTCAGAAGAAATCAACGGCGTTTTCCTCAGCAGTTAGACTGGCGCATGCGCAATATTAAAACTCAGATTTTTCCGGCAAATTTTGGCATTTGTACTAGTAAAATGTTGAAAATCACAGAAAAACACAATGAAACTTTGGCGAATCAAAAAAATACTTGGCGTGCATATGTATGGCATTGAGAATTACATTTGCACCAACTTTGAAAAGGATGAACGGACGGACAGAACCCAATCTATAAGCCTTCAGCAGACTTCGTCTGCGAAGGCTAAAAATATTTAATGCATGTATAAGCTGTGAGGACCAGTGTACATATATAATAGACAGTACATATACATGTACATATGGTATGAGATTAAAAAGTGTAGTTAATGAAGGACTATGATTAAAGCGGGGCAGTCGTCACGTACGTATGCGTCAGATGGCCATAGCGTGTCATTGTTTACAAACAAGCGTCTACCCATGAACCTTTGCGTTTTTAGCATGTGTTGTTATCGTTGTGTGTTGTTATCGTTATCTTTAGCATGTGTTGTTACCGTGTGTGTTGTTATCGTTATCTTTAGCATGTGTTGTTATCGTTGTGTGTTGTTATCGTTATCTTTAGCATGTGTTGTTACCGTGTGTGTTGTTATCGTTATCTTTAGCATGTGTTGTTACCGTGTGTGCGCAGGTGATGACTCTCCAGCTTTAACTGCAACCATTCAATTTTGTTGTTGTTTATTTATTAATAACCATATACCTTACCTGAAGCCAGAAAAAAAACTTTCTACTGGAGGACTTGAACTTCAGGATATATACACGACCGGTGGTACATTGTGGAACACGTTTGAATTCACAATCATCAGGGAAAATAATTAAATCCTAAAGAAACAACAGAATATACTGTAAATGATACGAGACTTTGTAGAGAGCATAGTGCATCATTTGTTACATCACATGTAAACTTTATTTTAGAAGGCAGGATAATAAAAGACCAATGGGTTGTTGTATATTCAAAGAAACATGTAAATGGGCATGTAGTAGGGTCTAAGTGTGATTAGCTCAGATGTGTTTTGATCTGTTCAAGCTGCTCAGACAAGTAGAAATTTGTAACAAGTAATTCTATTATACACAAGTCATTGTCAATGACACGTCCCCGTTCCATTCATATTTGAGTGACATATACATTCAAAGCAGATCATGACCGAAATGCACCTGCATATGTACAACACATTGTGCTAAATCTGAACAAAATCCATCCATGCATGACTGAGATCCGGTTGTGGAATTGTGAAAATACGTGATTTTGATGCATTTTCGGCCTTAAAATGGCCATCATTCCGCTATTGTTAAGCAGATCATGAAACAAATGCACATATCTATTTGTGACATGATGTACCATGTGTGTGTGAAGTTTGAACTTGATCAATCCAGACATGTCTTGGATACGGATCCAGAACTGAATTCTTTAACAAAATGGCCGCCAGTCG